TTCCAGATGTACATGTTGGGGCACACTTATAATGCGGGATTAGGCAAATTGAGTGATATCATAGGAAGGAAATTTTGCGACATTTATTCCTCTGACTGACTAAGGCAACTTATTTGAGCCGACTAGTCAAGATATGAAAAGCAGCCCCAAAAAATGCCAGTTTTGCACTGCATTTCGTTGTATAGGAAGATGGAACGGATTACTAAATTTGCTTCACTAGACCAAAAAGAAGAATTGCTTTACTCTTGCCGAGCAATCTTTCGACGACAGACCATGCTTTGAGAAAAATCCAATAAAATATAAACCAGAAAGGAGGACTAGCAACATTCTTGCATACCTCACTACTTAATTTACTATTAGTAGTTACTTAAATTAATTAAATAATTGAAGTTGCATCATATAAGAATGTTTCAGAGAGCATAGGATGAATTAGGGAAACAAAATCTGAAATTAAATCAACTCAAGCATTGGAAGGAAGAGCGATATCAGGGCTGACTTGACCCAGAGAATGTACATAGTCTTGCGTTATTTACAATAATGACCATCGGACAGTTGACTTACTAAATTCACAGACGTCCGTGGACATTACAGTTGAAGCGTCATCTTTATAACGCATCAATGGCCGAGTTTATGTTTCCTTGGCCATCAATTCCACCCCGAATGGCCACTGGCTGTTGGCAACTCTTTGTATCTTCCCTTGTTCCAGTCTAACAAGTGTGTCGCAAATTGAGTTGGTGGAGGATAATCGTTCTGCCAATTCGTCAACAGGTCTTGATCCCAATCGGCACTTCACGCCGATCAGCTTCAGTCAGCTGTTCCCTGCTGCATTTGAGAATCAGAGTCTTGTATAAATGGATGTTCTTGACCCCTTGATCCCAACTGGCGAGCTTATCCTTGATACTCAAAGACCCATTCGTATGACTGTCCCAGAAAGCGTGAAGAAACTGAGAACGCCTCCTGCTCTCATCACCTCACTTCGTCTATTTAACTCAATTTCCCATATTTTCCGTCCTCTCACCTAGACGACCTACAGTAAATCCACATTTGGTTATGAGGGTGTGGTAGAATCAGATTAAGGAGAAAGATAAGGCCAGGGAGATGTTATAACTGAGATCAGGATTGGGTAAAGAGATATTTTGAGAAGAAAAGCTATATAAAATGCGATGGTATCATAATATACAAAAGGTTCAGTGGGATAATCATTCATTCGTCCTTTAATAAACTTAAATACAGCCTTGGTAATCCAATTTAGCGTATTTTAAATACGGCAAATTGGGTAAAACAGAGTTCGAAAACTGTTGGAAATACTGAGGAAAATAAGAAAGAAATAGCAACTGGCTCAAATAATGTTTAAATGTATAAGTACGATGCGTGCTTGAGAAGAAACAAACAATATGATTATATTTACATTAAAAAGAGGAATCAGCAAAGGAAAGCCAATAATCAGATGGACGATGGATACAGTATGAGTGAAGGGAAGATAGCAGGATGGAGGCAATCGGGAACAGCTCAGCGACTGTTGAGTCTTGAACAAGTAATCAACCAGCGATGTGGCCTCTGAGCCAATCGGGAAAGAGGGTAGAATAGAATTGGCGTTGCATCAGAGCAGCTTGAGGCCATGAATAGCAAGACACAAAGTAGTCCTTTAGCTCCCGGTACTTAAGAGCATTTGAAGAGGCCTCCAGTCTAGAAAGGAAGGTCCACGCGTTAGCATTGACTTCAAGCACAAAACTGAGTAGCCGCTCAAAAAGAGCAGACAAAATACCTTTCCTCAGGAATTTTTTACCCACCCAAATTACCTGTCTCGGTCTAGCATATAGAGTTTAGCGAATATTAGATATGAAACACAAAATAACACCGC